AAGACCAGGACTCACTCTCTCCCAGAACCTATGCATAGCTAATAATTCAGCCATAAGGGGAAGCATCCTGTGGGTCCTTCATCCACCCATGACTGACTGATTGTTCACAAGCCCAATCTTGTATGGCCCAAGTGTTGTGAGTTCATGATTGAAATGACTGTGTCTAGTCGAGAGGATAGTATTTTTTCAGCCCTTCATTCTACCTTCTGCCTCTTATACACTCCCTGCTGCCCCACAATGTTCCCTGATCCTTTGAGCAGGGAGCTCTCAATCATCAGCTATGCTGAGCAGCTTGGCAGCCATGAATCTCTGCATTCATCAACATTTACTTCAAAGAGAGCCTTCTTTGGTTCAGAGCGCAGCTTTTGTGTAGGAGTATAATAAGCACAGGTGTTGAGAATGTAGCTTGATGGTGTGTCAATGTAGTTAAACAACAACAGTAGGTTCTTCTCTTGAGCAGGTTGTCAACTGGACTTACAGTACAGGGAATGGGCTCCCTCCTGTGGAATGGCCCTCAAATCTAATCAGAAGGCAACTGGTCACCTCGACAATTGTGCCGCTGTTCCGTAGGTTGGCACATCTTGCTCCGTAGGTTGACTTTTATGGCTCACAGGGTTTATGACTGGGTAAGCTCCATCAGCCTACACAACACCTTCCAACACTTGAAAAGCTAGCCAGCAGGGAGAAAGCTGCCAGCTCAGTTCCAGCTGGTTTGCCCAGCATCTTACAACTGAGGTACAATACAATCCCATCCTTCAGTTCTGGTGGGCAGCCAAGAGGACCAAGAAAAGCCTCCATTGTTTGGGGGGCCTCTGGGACCTCACAGACCAACTCTGAAGGGTGCCTCCTACACCACTCTCATGGAAGGGAGACACAGAGGGAAATCCCTTAAAATAAAAACATATATTTTGATTCATAAATGTTCAAAACTGGTTTCCCTGGAAGGCAACGGTGACCCAGTGTGTGCAGTTGCTGTACATGCCACAGCAAGAGAGCACAGACGTGCGACACTGGAGACTCAAAAGCCACCGAGGGATTTGCTAGTGTCACATTATGCTTCAGAAGGGCAAAAAGCTTACTTAAGTTCTGGCAGGAGAAAGAGGTATACTCTTTTGATTTACATGGTTGTGCATTCCTAGAAAAGTCAGTAACAGAGCCAAAATCCTACTGGTGTTATTCTTTCCCAAGTTGCTGGAGCCAGTATTTTCTCTATACCTTCAGAAGCATTTTTTTTTTTTAGCTCCATCTTGGTCTTATTCCATAGATTCTGATGGTTTCATTGTTATTTTTCTGGATAAATTGAAATTTCATTTTATTTCTGTGGTTAGTTTTATCAACTTGATATAAACCTAGACATATCTAAGAAGGAATCAAAACCGAGGAATTTCCTCCATTGGATTGTCCTTTGGGCATGTCTATAGGCTTTTTTTTTAATTAATGATTTATGTAGGAGGGCCCAGCCCACTATGGGCAGTGAATCTCCTGGGCAGATTATTCTGTATGGCCCAGGAAAGCTACTTAACAAGCAACGAAGAGCAAACCAGTAGTCAGTACTTTTCCATGGCTTCTGACTCAGTTCTTACCCCCTGATTCCTGCTTGAGTTCCTGCCCTGACTTTTCTCAGGGATGGACTGTGATGTGGATGTGTAAACTCAATAAACCCATTCCTCCCCAAGTTGTTTTTGCTCATGATGTTTATCACAGCAACAGAAAGCAAACATCTTTGAGATTTCATCTTACCCCAGTTAGAATGGCTAAAAGAAAATAAATACTGGAAAGGAGGTAGAGAAAGAGGACCCTTATTCACTTTTGGTGGGATTGCAAACTGGTGCGGCCACCCTGGAAAGCATTGTGGAGAATTCTCAAAAAGCTAAAAATAAATCTATCATATGATACAGCTATACCACGCCTGGGCATATGCCCGAAGACTCAAGCCACAGACATGCGTTTAGCTGTGTTCTCGCTGTTCCATTCACAACAGCTAGGAAATGGAAACAACCTGAATGCCCTTCAGCTGATGAATGGATAATGGAAATAGTACATATACACTATGGAATACTGGTCACTGTCAAGACAAGTGAAATAATGAAGGTTGCAGATAGTTGGATGGAGCTAGAACGTATGACGTTGAGTGAGGCAACCCAGAGCTAGAAAGTCAAGCACAGAATCATCTCTCTCATCTGAAGTTCCTAACTACAAATCTTCAGATATTAGTATATACACCTGGAGTAACAGCAAAAACCAGGAAAGCAAAAAAAAAAAGGGGGGGGCATAGGGTTGGGGTAGGGAAGGAGCCCTAGAAAGAGGAATCGGATGATAAATAGTTGATATAGAAGTGGAAATGGGGAACATGTGGGCGGGGCTTTAACTGGGGAGGAGAATGCCGGAGGAAAAGGAGTGAGGAGGTATAAACAACATGAAGGATGTTTGAAAAAGCCACAGAGCAGTGGTTCTCAACCTTCCTAATGCTGTGGCCCTTTAGTACAATTCCTCATGTTTTGGTGAGCCCCAACCATAAGATTATTTTCATTGGTACTTTATAACTGTAATTTTCTACTGTTGTAAATCATAATGTAAATAACTGTGTTTTCCAATGATCTTAGGAGACCCTTATGAAAGGGTCCATTTGACTTCCCAAAGGCGTTGTGACCTTCACGTTGAGAACCACTGCCATAGAGCATCGTATTACTTTATATTTGCCTAAAACTAAATGCAACACGTGTAAGTCCTAACTTCATGCTAAATACTTATCATCTTTATACTTTCATTTACAAAGCTTCTCTTTGCAATAGGCAGAGAATATCATAGAAACCACAACTGGTCAAAATTCAGAGAATAACAGACCAAGGATGCCCAGCCTCAACTGATACATCTACAACACAACCCCTATATGTAAGGCTCAGAAAACATTTTGGAAGTGAGGGGAGGGGTTATAAGAGCCAGAGAACCAGGAAAACTGCTGAGATTGTGCCTTCTAGAAATGACAGGAAAGACATACCTATGAAATTTCAACAGTATGGTTACCTAAACAAAACCTAAACAAGGATGCTACCAATTGACATGCCAACATGTATGGGAGCGGGGAAATCTCATGGGGCTCCATCCTTAGATAAAGTCATTTAATGACTGTATAGAGAGGGAGGAAACATCCTCTGCAGGGGTAAGCATCCTAACTGGATATCTAATACCAACTGGTAAGTCCTAAAATCATCTACATAGAAGCAACACTAAACAGACTCAGCAGGTTGTATGTTTGCATGTATATATGTTGTATATATGCATGCATGTATTTATTTTTGTGTGTCTGTGTAAAACAATAATAACAAAAGGAGGTTAGGGATTTGAAATAGTGTGAGGCATGGGAGGTGCTAGATGAAGGAGAGGAAGCTGGGGGCATAATTATATCTTAATTCAAAATAAAGAAAGCCAACTAAGCAGGGCATAATGACATAGGCATGGTGGCATGGTGGTGTCATGATATGCCTTTAAGCTCAGCACTCTGGATAGGAAGAATGGGGGAGGGCATATGGATTTACACTTTGTGTACAGGTGTTTAACTCGGTTGTTTCTCCTAACTCCAATGCAAGAGGAGCATGGAACCAGGACCAAGTAGCATGATTAACTCACATCAATCATGCAAGACTCTCACGATTAATTCAGACCAACTTTAGCTTTTGCTGGGGTATTTTATCTCAGCAACAGGAAAAGAAATGAAGACATAAGGTCCCCAGTTTCTCAACTGTGATGTATGAGATAGACAGCCTCTCCCACAGCATACAGTCAATCACACAGGCTTCCCATGACAAACACAACTCAGTCAGGCAGTGATGATGCAGTCATACAAGGTGGGTGGTATGCAAAACAGCTTCTGCCTTCCAGGACTTTAAGCACTAGGTAAGAAGGATGGCAGAAGGAAGGACAGCGACTCAACTAGAGCGTCTTTCTTTCAAATTGTTACTAAGTATGTTACACCAGAGCCAGTGGCTTCAGTATAAAATGTGATTTGCTCCCTACTAAGAGTTACCTATTAAGTAGGATGTGTTGTGTGGTGGAATGCAATGGAGCTTTTCCAGTAATAAAGCTTATTGTAGAAATTACTGGCTGTGACTCCTGAGTTTCTTACTCAGGGTGAGGAAGAATTCTGACCTATGACTAAACAGTGATGTGACAACCACCGCCATCAAACGCAATTCACCATCACTGAGTACTTCCATCCCTTGTTTTGTTCTAAGTACTCAGCACGGATTCTGTTACTTCATGCCCAAAGCATGTGATATTTGCTGTTATTATTCATATCTTCCTGGTTTAAAAAAAAAAAAGGATGACTAGAGATATTCAGTTTACCCACCAAGGTCTCAAAGGTGGTAAGAGTCAAAACCAAAAATCAAACAAGAACTTTAGATGCCAGGCTGGGGACTTAAAGCAGTGGTAGTTATATGTATGACTAGCATGTGAAAGGCTCCAAGTTTGATTCAGCCCTACAAAGGATCACTCACTTGATCCATCAATGTCGGCTTCAAACACCAGACTCTTAACTGCTGTATCAGAACTCTCCCTGTGGAAGCAGGGCTGGGCTAACTACAATGCCTGAAGCAAGGCCAGTATTAGACACTCCATCAAGGAGAGGACATTTTGTTCTCCTAGGCCCAGCTGACAAGGTCAGTTTCCTGTAACTGAATCAAGAGGTGGATGTAGCATCCCGATTCCCAATGGAGAAGGTGAAGATGGATGTTCCCAACACACTGGTCTGGACCACCCATCCCATTCTCCTGCACATCTTCAAACTGCTATACTTTCAGACCAAGACTAGCGATTTCCATCTGTCCACTAATCTTGATGAAAGCATTATTTGAAAAAAAATATAACATTCAATTTTAGGCATGGAAAGATCAAATAAATTACATCATAGTGAAGCAAGGAATTTGTTTCACCGTGGAAAAAGGAACACAGGGTAGAACAATTATAGCGTGCTCAAGTGCTAAACAACTTTCAAACAGATATATTGTTTGAAGATACTTTATTAAGATTAAAAAAAACTTTCCATTACATTTATCTATAAATCCATCATAGGCCAAAAGCAAAATAAATAAAAATCTATCTTTAGGGACATTTTGACTCCATAGTTTTATAAATCTGAGTTTACATGTTTGCTCATTTTAAATCACTACAGTTTAGGTACACTCAATGATTATATAGTACCAGGAATGTCAGCCTTATGGACGCCAAGTTTCCATACTACTCGGGGAAACCATGGTTATTGTTTCAATTTTATCTCTTTACTTTTAGGCCACTCTAACTGGGAGGTGGACGAGGAGAGCAGCATTCCACACTAGGTTCAATTTTAACTGTACGGACAAACACTGAAACTCTGCTTTTCTCTCTAGTAGTGGCTGACACTCCATCCCAGGAACGGGCTGCTGAAAACTAGGAGCAAAGAGTTCTTCTTGGTGGAGGGAGTGCTGAGGTCAGAGAGCAGAGAGAGGCCTCTTGCTGCAGGTATCAGCAGCCCTTTGTTGGTCTGCTCATTACATTTTAATTCAATCTCTGTAGCATCAAAGCACGGGGGGAAGGCTACATGCCACCCGATTTCTTACACTGCTTTTATTGCCATTGTTTTAAAGAAATAGTGTCTAGCTCTGCTCTAAAAGGTGCAGACATTTGTATTTTCATAACATTCTATCACCTATACTACCTAGAAGGACTCAAAATTTCCACTGCCCTATACAAGCTCCACCCCAAAATAAAGAAAGGAGACAACAATCCCCAAATGAAGAAAAACAGTGCGTGAAGATCTCTCAGAGGAAGGAATGTGGGCTAAAGTAGTCACAGAATGTCCTATGCTGGCACACATTCCTTATCACTCTTGGTACAGAAACTCGCTTTATGAGAAATGTAGGCATCGCCCACGGGCTGACATATTCCACCCAAACCAACTCTTTAAGACTTGTGCTTCTAGATGGGCCACACTGGTCATTGGCTTCAGAACAGGAAATCTGCTAGTCGTCCTATGTTAAAATTGTATGGCTTATTGTTGAATTAATAAACGCAGAACTTGCATGGACTGTGGTCATTAGTCCAATGATCTGAATGTTGGATGTGAATGAACAGTGAGGTCACTAGAGTAGTTTCTGTTTCTGCTTCTCACAGTAATTTGACATGTCTTCAGGAGAGCTAGCAATGGACACTATCAAACAGCAGTGAACACGTAACATGCATGTGGGCCTACCTGCCAAAAGGTCAAATATTTACACGGAATGTTGACCTTGTTTATAAAACTACTACTTTAAGTTATTATATCTTTACATACAATTTATTTTATGAATAATAGCCTTATTTGATAACTAAAAAAATATGCCTTTCAAATATTTCACAAATATATAAAATTTCCCTACATTTCATTTTTCTTTAAACATGACATTTAAACTCTCTACAAAGCAACAAAAATAACTTTTGTATGAAAGTCAGAAATGTGATGATTTTTCTATTGACTGAATCACACTGCTCACTGGAATGGCAGGAGCTCTCTGAACTGGGGACATTTGTAATATTGCGAATTATTCACTTGCTGGAGACCTAAAGCATCAAAGAAGAAGGAGCAGTGTCATCTAAACTTTTAAAAATCCCTCTTCCTTCAGAACAGGTTGAGATGGACTCGGCCAGTGTTAACCATTTTGGTGACAAAGAAGTTAACACAATATAAGGATTCTAAAACACAGTGCGGCACAATTGAAATGTGTGGTGATTGCACAATACAGAAGCATGATCACTTTTTCCTTAACTGCACTCTCATATGTGTGTTACATGTTTTAGACTACTTATCTCATTCTTATAATTTGTTGAGAAATTCCAAAGCAAGAGAAGAAAACATTTTGACTCCAGCAATATCTTCTGAAAAGTAATAGATGAAAACAGAAGGTGCTTTGTGATCATTACTTGCCCTAAGATACCAGCACTCTTACTAAACCATGGGGAAAGGTTTTTGTCTACATCTATAATATTATTTAAATCTACTTCCAAGCCTGTTGCAGTGGCATGTACCCATATTTGGGAGTCTGAGGCAAAGGAGGGCTGAGTTCAAGGCCAGTGTAGACAGCACAGTGAGACCCTCAACTTAAAAAAGAAGAATCCAATTTTCCCTTATAGCATATTTGCAGCATCTCTGATATGTACTCCAAAGGATTCCCTAAGCTATAATATGTGAGCTACTCCCTCAAGAGAAAAAAAAAAAACAACGGAGTTTCTCCTTTGCTTTTAAATGTGCACACTAAGAACATACTTTGTGTAGAGGAGCAGTAAGAAGATGGGGGTCTTATTTCCAGCTCAGTTAAATCTGTAGCTGCTAAGTCCATGCTGTCAACTGCAAGCATGCAAAGTGAAGGGCATTGAGCACAGGTGGACATGGACTCTGCTACATACTGCCTCACAACAGAAACAGAACTAGACTAAAGACAACCAGGAAATTCAAAGTTCTGCTAAGAATATAGCACTGTGCAGATTTTGACTTTTAGATTGTACAGTCATATGCTTTAAATAAGGCCATAAAAGATATAAACAAAACCCGAATTAAAATTTTTGAAGACTTTACATCTATGACAGTGATAGGGATTTTAAAAAATCCTACCCAAAACATGGTAGCTGACCTAATCATGCACTCCGTAAAAAAGACAATTATGGAAATTTCCTGAGTTATGAATGTAACCAGCTCACAGGGACCCAATGAGTATCAGTCTCTAATTTGTCAAATGTTGTTTTTAACTCATTGAATGCCACAGTGAGGTCATCATTTACTATGATTTTGTCAAAAAGATGACCATATTGACTTTCCATTATCTGTGCTGATTTAATCATTTCTTGAAAGTCTTCTTCCTACAAAAACAAGGATTGACAAATTAAGTAACCAGACAATTGTGTCATTTCACATCAATAGAAATGTTTTACAACTTTACCTGAAGCTGTGATGTGTTCAGACTTTTGACCCAGCCCAAATCAAAATCATCCTTCCTATCACTTCTTTTTCAGGGATTGTAACTGCTAGCACCAGCTATAACTGGACTTCCTGCAGGGTCATCACTAATGAACCAGCAGCACAGGCATCAGGGTTGCTGCTGACTCAGCATGCATGCAAAATGCTGGGCTTTGTTGTTGATGCTTTTTCTTTCCTTCATCTGGTGGCACTGGGAGTGAAGACAGACTTTTGTGCGTGCTAGGCAGCCCTGAAACAGTGGTTAATACTACTGCTGTGGATATTGGTTGGAGACAGGAGTCTTGCTCTGTTGACCATGCCGGTTTCAAATATGGCAAGCAGAAAAGAACGACCTCTAACTATCAATTCTCCTGCTGTTGCGTTTTGAGTGCTGTGGATTACAGGGGTGCATTACCATATCCAGCTCTACAAAGTAGAATATCGATTCATAAAACCAAGACGAATTTACAATGCCATCGTTCAAAATGCACAGACCAAAACACAACTGCCTTTTGAGAGGTTTGGATCACAACTTCAACTAAAGTACTGTGTGCAAGCATTTCAGTTAAGCATCATGACACTTACCGTGAAGGGCTTCGCGGTCGCTTGGTCATCCCTGCTTGAAATAATCTTTGCGTTTTTTCTTGTCTCTCTCAAACGCTCTATTGACGGAGGCTTTATAAATATCACATAGGGTTTGAACTCCTGTGTCCTTAAATGCTTCACTGTCTGCAACAGAGAAAAGATTTTCTTTTCATATTTCTTCATAATCTCATACATTCTGGATTTTCTAAGGAGAAAATTTCTTAAAATGATTCTTTAATGTCAGAAGGTTATTATTCAACCAGTTCTTGACAATTAAGGTGACAATCTAACTGAAAAGCAGCTAGAGAATGCAACTTTCACTTTAAACATTTGGAAATTAACCATCACTACTATGGAAGACAGTGGCTAAAACCACCAGAAAACTAGGTTCTAGACCAAGCTTCGAAAAGATGTGATGAGGTTGGTAACTTCCTGTCTATAGTTGTCCGTTTCTTTCTCTGTTAGAAGCTGGAGTCTGCACAGTCTCTACTCTCCATGAGGTCTGCCAGCACCTCCCCACCCCCATCAAGCATCTTGTTTTGTTTTGAGACAGGGTCCTACTATGCAGCCTGGGACTGTATAGGACTGCATAGGAGCCTGCCTGGGATTCCTAATACTCTTGCCTCAGTTTCCTGAGTGCTGGATTACAGGTATGTACCAACACACGTGGGTTGTTTTTATTTTTTATATTTTATTCTTCTCTCATACAATACATCAAAACCACAGTTTCCCATCCCAGCCCCCCTCCCCCCTCCCATCTCCCCCAGATCTACTCCTACTTCATTTCCCTTCAGAAAAAAGCCGGCCTCCCAGGGATATTAACTGAGCACGGCATAACGAGATGCAATAAGACCAGGCACAAAACCTCATCTCAAGGCTGGGAGAGGCAACCCAGAGGGAGGAAAACCATCCCAAGAGCAGACCAAAGAGTCAGAGACACCCCCACACCCACTATTAGGAGTCCCACAAAAACACCTAGCTACACATCTGTAACATATATGCAGAGGACCTAGCATAGACCCATGAAGGCTTGTGAAAGCTGCTTCAGTCTCTGAGCCTCGATGATCCCTGCTTAGTTGATTCTGTGGGCTGTGTTCTGGTGTCCTCGACCCTGCTGGCTCCCACAATTCACACCTGGGCTTTTAAGTGTTGACGTCTGCAGACTGAACTATAGTCAAGAGTAACTGGCAGAAGGGCCAGAACTGATATTGATCTCACATGAGGGCCTCTCCAGAGTCTGAATATTTCAGACATCCCACTGTGAAGGTTAAGTAGATGGACTCCATGTGTTAAAAGAGAGGGAGTGATGGCGAGGATGAGGGGAGGATGGCAGAGTTGGGAAGGTACAGAGGTGCCAGTGAAAATGCATTTGGTAAGTCTGGGATAAGCAGGTCCAATATATCGGCAGGGAGTTCAGAACAAGCAGGAATGCCTCATTCTTCCTGGTTCCTGGACAGAAGGCAGCTTCCAAGTTGATGCTAAGGATCCTATAATTCTAGCTTCTCCATCCCTGTAATTGGGAGGCTAAGCATCCCAGAGCACCACCATCATTAGAAGGAGACTCTTTGGAAGACTAGGGAAATGCTGGGCTTGGGTACCAATCAGAGGATGAGTTGGATGACATAAGGATTGAATGTTTTCACCCATTGGCCTTCTTAGTTCAAAGTGCCCACAAGAGGCCCCTGGGTGATACACAAGGTCCCTCTGTGGCATCTCAGACAAGACATTATTGAACAGTGCCTCACAGCTCTGCTGGGCTTTAAATATCTACATTGTGTACAAGATCAGATTAGAGCAAGAGAACAACGATGTAAAATGCCACTGTCAGATTATAAACACTGAGAATAAGGCATAACACAAAGCATGCTATGTATGCAACATTTGTAAAAGATCCTAAATGAACATGTAATAGCCAGCGAGCTTGAGTGAATAAAAACTAGAAACTGACCTCGGGGCTTCTTCCCCTCTTATTTCCTAATAACATCAGGCCTTTATTTTCCTTAACCAACCTACTTTAGGTGAGAAGACTTCATGTGAAGTTCATTCTAGATGCTGCAGGAGGCTCACAGGAAACTGCATGCTTTGTTTACTTACATGAGGCTGGACATCCAACAGACAAACTTTGTTCTTAGCTAGGACGGAGCGAACGGAGTCTATACTTGTACCATAGTAGTTGTTTTTATATTCACCATATTCAATGAACCTGTAGAAAATTAGACACTCATCAGAATGGTTTGCGAATATGAAAAAAGCAGGTGGCAAGTTACACTTCATAGGCAAAAGATATTTTTGCTGAACATGTAAAAATTTTCTTTGCTGTATTTAATAAAATAAACAGAGCCAAGCATTTCAGCAAATGTCAATTTAAAAAAAATCTTCTACATTTTCAAATCAGTAACACTTGCTTGTATTACACTTAAGCCCAAAAAAGTACTTTGGTTCAGCAGAGCGTTAACGTTTTCCATCACCCCCTTCAGAACTAATGCAATGCAATAAAACAGTGAATAAGCCAAACAATAGAAACTACTGGAATTTCACTGCACACTACAGAGTACCAGAGCTGGGCACTGGAGCCCCAGGAGCTGGGAGGTGGCTAATGGAACCAGGGCAGCGATTATGTGCTATAAAAACACACTCGTAGGGCCAAACTTGAAGAAAGCATTTTGATGTTTCAATAAAATCCCACAATACTGTGTGAAAACACACCCTCCTTCTGACGCCCTGAGTAGCCACACCTCAGCAATGGAAAACTGGGGGAGGGTGGAGTAGGAGCTAGCTGGAAAAGACGGTGTGTGCAACATGGCAGCTTTATTCCAATGCTGTGACGAGCCGATGCAAGACTAAGGTGTGTGTGAAGAAGATTATGGTGCAAGCCTATCATATAGCTGGCCATGAATTTTTAAAATAAAGTCCTAACCATGTTACATGTTGAGATTCAATTACTGCACTGGAAAAAAAGTCACAGAAACACACTGGGAAATTTCCCTCATGCTTCAAAAACAATTCCTATGGGTTTAGCTGAACAGAAATGTAGTAACTCCCAGGTACTAAAAAAAAAAAATAGATGTGAACATCAGTAATTGCTAACTAAACTACCACTTTTTAAGGGCTTCACATAGTACTGTAGTAAGTGAAATGCATTTTAAATGGAAGGGAACCCTAGGCTAGCTAAAACTAGACATACAGGCACCAGCTTAAGAACAATAGTAATGGAAAAAAATTCAACCTAAATTTCACATACTTGTTGTTTTGTACATCTGTCTCAAACAAATGCTTGGAAATAAAAATATATTCCACACCATCACTCTCTTGGCTTCTTCGTGCTCTAGTGGTGTCTGTAATTTGATAGAAAAAGAGTTGAGAAAAGTCTACGTCAGTTACCTTAAAGTATTAAAAAGAAATCAAGTACATTAAGTTAGTTTCCTACACGAGATTTAAAAACATATAGAAAAAAGGTAAATTAGCCGCTAAAATACAATGGAGTGTAAATTCAGACTTTTCCACTGTTGTTACAATGTTAAGGCTGAAGATCTAAGTGCACCACAGGTTTGATCATTACTCATACCTTTAAAGAATCTTTAATATGAGTAAATATATAAAAGTAGTCATATGTGTAGAGTTTAACACACTCCCCAGGAAATGGCCTTTCTTTTGCAAATAACTTGCTTATTTTGTCATGTCTGATCTTTCTTTGCTAAAGTAAGGATACTGTTGACTGTGTGGAGGGCTAAGCCTTCTTCACACAATGCGCAGCACGTAACTTCAGTGTTCTGTTTTACTCACTGAATGGAATCAAATACCTCCGTGTGTTATTTACCACTCCGGCCAAGTCATCAACAACAGTGTCTTGCAACCTTTTGCCAATGTTGCCTACTTATTTTTGAGTGAATGATAAAGGAACAGAAAACGCAGGATCATGGAAAACAATGGCCGAACACAATGCTTTCCCACATGGACACACACATGAAACCCCACGGCAACCTTACCCTTGCTGCTCTTACAATCAAAAGCCCTGGACACCTGACCGTCATCTAAGAACCTTAAAAACACACAAATACAAGAAGGCTACAGAAGGCAGAGAACCTGCATGGGAGCCATGACATACCGGTAACGAGGCAGGGGCTAGATTTCTGCGGGTAGTCAGGGAAAAGGGCTATGCAACTAATCACAAATGTTACACTGAAAACACATGCTGGACTTCAAAAAAATGTTAGGTTAAAGGAGTGAGGTAGAGAATGTCAAGGAAGAGGAATAAGAGGACTGGTAGCTGGGTAAGAGACAGCCAAGCAGAGCAGGTAAGAGAAAGGACAGGTGCTCTAGGAAGCAAGGCCAATGTTGGCAGGCTGGCTGGGGGGCTGGCTGGCTGACTCCCACGAAGCCTTGGGAAGATACTGATGGTCTCTCACATACTCATGCTTCTTCTAGCGAAGCTCAATGTAACTGACTAAACTGTGGGAAAGAATGGCTTTTAATGGAGGAGGTTCCCCTATCCCAGAAAAGAGACTACCCCAGATCACCCCATGGATGAGGAGCTAGATATGAGACAGCGAAGAAGGACTGAGCTACCTCTTGGTAGCTGTGTTAATGTAATACCCCATGGTGAAATACAAGCTAGACACATAAATGCTGAGAACAAAGAACAGTTTGACAGCTGTAAGGTTGACAGTGGCCATTCAGTCCTGACTGGATAGCACATATTCAAGATCAGCGGCTAACAGGCAGAAATCAGAGATGGGCAGGGTGGACTCCAGCCACCCCTAACTGGATGAGCAGCGTGTAACAGAGCCTGATTATCGACCTGGCTGGACTACAGGCACACACCCAGAGCACATGAGCCCTCTACTGGCTTTGATTCAACATGCTCAAAGAATTAGCCAATCTCAATAGAAGGCATGCCAGTCTGTGTTCAGTTCCTGCCCCAGTCCTATGACAAGCCCCAGGCAAGCAGCTCCAGGGTGTCTTCTGCCTGGGAAGCCCCCGGGCTCAGGGGGATTTCTTTCATTTTTCCTGAGGTTTTCTAAGCAAAGGCTGCTTTCACTCCACTCGCTCCCAGTTGTCTGTATCTTTAATATTCACTGATGTGAGGCAGCAACCTCCAGAGCCACCATCCCAGTTAACTTTTGGAGACCCCTGAGTTCTAGCACCTGAGTCCCCAGGCAGGGCAACCTGGGCTGAAAATGGTCCTGTCATCAAAAACCAACCAAACCAACCCAAACCCCCAACTTTCTCAGCAGAATCCACAGGGTGGTTAAGAGTGTGGTGGGAACCCGAAGTGGGGAAAGCACAGGAGGGAGTGTGTTGATTCTCTTTAGAAACCAACACTGGTCTAAGACTAACTTCTGCCCTTCCACATAAAGCTCAGATTCAAACCAGCAGAATTTGTTTTAAGAAGTGAGTATGGGGGCTGGAGAGGTGGCTCAGCAGTTAAGAGCACTAGGCACTCTTCCAGAGGTCCTTAGTTCAATTCCCAGCACCCACATGGTGGCTCACAACCATCTATAATGGGATCTAATGCCCTCTTCTAGCCTGCAGGTATACATGCAGATGGAGTACCATATACACAAAACAAATAAATCTTTAAAAGTTAAAAAAAAAGAAGTGAGTATGATTAGAATATACAGATCTTAGTCTAACCTCTGAGTAATGGGATGACACACACACACACATACACACACCACACACACACACATCACACTATACACACACCATACACACACACACACATCACACACACACATACACAGACCATATACACACACACATCACACACATACACACACCATACACACACATCACACACACCACACACATCATATACACACACACACCATGCACACACACACACACCACACACATCATATACACACACACCATGCACACACACACACACACACACCCCACACACACACATCACACTATACACACACCATACACACACACACATCACACACACACATACACACACCATATACACACACACATCACACACATACACACACCATACACACACACACACATCACACACACCACACACATCATATACACACACACACACATCATATACACACACACCATGCACGCACACACACACACACACACACACACACACAGGAAAGGCTTAGAGTATTTGACTGAGACATGCATTATGTACACAAGCCTCATATTCATCTTTGAGCCAGAATACTATTTATTCCTAATTCAATAAAATATAAATGCTTTAAAGTAAAAGTTATGTGGTCAGATAGATAGATTTCTTTTTTAATTAAAAGGTTGCTTTTTGTTTTTTGTTTTTTGTTTTTTTTGGTGTGGTGTGTGTGTGTGTGTTTTCACACGACATGATGTGGGTGAAGGCCAGAGAACAGCCTAGGGCATCATTATTCAGAAGCCATCCACTTTGTTTCTTTAGACAGGGTCCCTCCCGTTTACTAGGTTTACTAGAACTTACCAAGTAGAGCTATGCTGGCTAGCCAGAGAGCTGTAGGGATCCACCTGTTTCTGCTTCCCTATCACAGGAGTAGAAACACATGCCACCATTTGTGGCTTTTTTTTTTTTACATTGTGTTGTGATGACTGAAGTCAAGACACCCTACTTACAAGCATTTTCCCGGTACAGCCATTGCCCCAACCAGCCTTGTAATTTCTAAAAACATTAGGCTTACGGTCCAGCCATCCTCCTACTTACTTGTTCAAGGGAAACCAAAACCTATGTCTTTTCAAGTTCTTGTGCACAAAGTTCACCATAATGCTGTATCCGTTAATGGTCGGCAGTGGAGGTGGTGGAGGAACCTCAGTATCCACCATCAGGTGAACACACAGGCAGACTGTAGTATGTCCATGCCAAAAAATGCCATGCAAGGATTGCTGCTGTTTGAGATTGTAGGTATAGGGCAAACTCATGCTAAACTGAAAAGCAACAACAAGCCAACCAAACAAAAAGCCTGTGCAAAGACAAATAATTGGTTTTCACTGTGTGATTCAACCCAGGATGCCGGTGAGGATTACGGTGAGTCCTCAGTGATGAGTGCAGAGCAGCACCTGACAGGCTGGGAGCAGCCCAGCACAGGCATAGACTTTTCTGAGATGGAATTCCTTATTATGCCTGTGATAATACATGCCCATGTGCAGACAGAGGCTGAAAAAGATCTATGCCCATTTCACGTATTTCAATTCTATCTTTTAATAATGTTTAACAGAAAACTATGAACTGGGAAAAGTAATTTTTTTTAAATCGTTAAAATTTTATTTACTTATTTATTGCATGGGGGTGCAAACCACGGTGCGCATGTAGAGGTCAAAGGACAACTTGCTGGAGTTGTTTCCCTCCTTCCGCCATGAAGGTCGTAGGGATCAAACTCAGGTCCTCAGGCTGGGTAGCAGGCTCCTTTACCTGATAAGCCATTGTGCCAGCCACAAAGCAATGAACTTTTAAGGCCAAATAACTCAGTTATGTTCCAAATCCTAATTCTCTTTACCAAGCCAGCAAATATATTTTAATACAAAGCTCCTTCAACAGTTTCTCACTCCTCCCCATGGGACACCAAGAACTGGTACTATTCTTAATGGAATGTCACAGTCTTTCTAAAAGCAGGATTAAGGACCGATAAATTTATTCCATCATGAAAACAAGCAACACATTTTACAGTAGGCAATTATTTTGTTGAGTGTGTATTACAGGATACATATTCAAGAGTAGAAACAATATTTAAATGAGTACTTTTTTCTGCTTTGGAAATGGGGCTAAATTCATTTATTATTTTTGCTGTTGATATTTGCTGGTGTTCCTTTACCAAATACTGAACTAAAAAAAAAAAAACAAAAAACAAAAAAACAAAGAAACAAAACCCACAACATTGGAAATCAAAACCGAGACTTTTTTCTGCATTAATTTGCTGATAATAAAGAAAAGACAGTGTTTGTCGAACTATAAGAGCTTACATCATGACTGAGCATGTACAGTACACATTTAGAGATCATTGCCCTAATATACAGAGCCCCCTAAACCTACACACACCAAATTAGACACTTTCAGAAGTACACCAGCTAGTAGGTGAGCAAGGCATCCAGGACACTGAGGCCAGCTCCCAGAGTTAGCCATGGCTCCTGTTCCTTTACTGAGAAGCATTTCAGAGCTAAGTGTAAGTCTCCAACTCAGTAATAAGGGATAATGCTAAAGGAAGCCCTCACAGTGTCTGTGAGAAGATTACAAGGGCTGTCCTGTTCTAGAAAACCTCAAGTGAGGTATCCTTTAGACAGTTCAGTCTTCTAGAACATGGGTAGTTTGAGCTCTATGAAAACACTGATCCTTGCCTACATGGGAAACCTCAGAAAATGAAGAGGAAGTGTTGGTGACAAAGGAAGGTGTTCAAAGCCCGGACTGAGGATTTGGAATCTACAGATCCAAATGTATTACCCATCTACTGCATAACCTTCTGTTAGCTATGTTTTAGCTGTTAGAGCCCAAGAATAACAGCATTCACTAGATTTAGTATCCTTTTAAAGTACTGTCACATGCTGCATGATGACATCATGCATTATAGAATGCATACTTGACAGTAGCCTCACAGATTATCTGGTGACATTCTTGACAGCTTAGTTACACTAAGTCCAAAAGATAAAACTTCACAAGTCACATTTTTCAAGATGAGTACTTTCACTAAAACATGTGACTGCCATTTTAAGTGGAAAAATGATATATTTGAAAGTAGTTATAAAAACAGTACAGACTGGTGCCACACCCTGGTCTGTCTCTCAGCTTCCTCCAGTAATATTGACACAATTGTAACACAGCATTGAAACCAAGAAGTCAAATGTCAATGAATTATAATTAGTTTAACTATAGGAGTTCTAGCTAACATTTAAAAACCAGACTAGGATATAGGAAAGTTTATATACAAGTCTTATATGAATGTGTGTCAATATTATGTGTGTGTGTATTACAAAGACTAATGAAACCCCAAAGATCAGCATAACCATATGATCAGGGCTCTAATACGAAGCAGAGCACTGCCAGCCTCCACTTGAGCTGCCTTCCTAGCCCATCTCCACAGGTTCTCTAACAGCACACACTACAGTTGCTGCACACTTAATGCATTCTCTCTTTTCGACCTGTTTTCTTCTGATACAGCAAGAGCACATGCTAGCTTTAGAGGGAGCACAGGTTAAAAAGGTAAGACTGGAAACACCAAGGAATGTAAAGAGGGCTTTGCAGCTGGATATGAGATGACCAAGCTGACCTGATATGAAGAAGGACAGGATCTGGGAAAACAGCAAAGTTACTGTCACCAGGGGCACTGGCTTCCACTCTCATGAGCCTCCACCAGGAAGCACACAGAGGTCAGCTTTCTGTATATCTTTCCTTCTAATGCAGCTATCTATAGCAGAGGAAACGGTAAGATCAGCTTCTAAGAAGTCTCTATTTGTCCTAGAAAGAAGACAGTCCCAGATCATCCTGCAGGCAGGGAACTAAATATGAGGCAACCACGAACAACTGTAGGTATATCTTGATAGCCGTGGTAAGAGTTGACTCCCCGGAGACAGTAAAGGAAAATGGTCCATACTAGCATTGCAAGCTGGTCATGTAAACATGAGAAGACAGCATAGTGTAACTAATGTGCAGAAGACGTGGCCAAGGTCAGAGACCAGTGATGCCTGCAAGGTCAGGGAGCTGCAATGCTGGCAGGGGCTACTGGCTAGCAGATAGCCAGAGACAAACGCTAACAGAGCTATCACCCTAACTGGGCAAGCAGCCTCAGTATAGCGTGTTATCATCTCCCTGGGTTGCGCCAAGGGAACATGCACAGTTATGTGGGGGCTCCCTAAGTGGCTTGGCCCATGACATACTCAGAGAATTAACCAATCTTAACAGGAATCATCTCACTCTTGCCCATTTTCTGCTAAAAGCCCAAAGGCTCTAGGCCAGTAACTCAGTGGCTTTTCCTCGCTGGGGTCTCCTTCTCCTCTCCAGAGTTTCCTCTAGTTCCCTCATAAAAACAAACAAACAAACGAAAACCATGTTCTCACTTTCTCTTAGTTCTCCTTAATAAAATTTGTTTCCGCTTTGCTTACTTCCATGTGTCTATGTCTTTAGTAACACTGACAGACAATGAACTCAAGAGCTACTGACTCAGGTTGTCTTCTAGTGACTACTGAATGTCTGGCACCCTAGTTCCCCAGATCACATACACCTGGGCTGAGACACTCCAGTGCTCCCAAAGATCTGCATCACTCTTCCTCAGTCTACTCTTGATGGAATCAAGTCATAGTATAGTGCTATCCCTATGCATTCTAGCATCCACCATGCAAATAAGCCGTGATTTACCTATCTACTCATTACTGGTGGCATCTGGGTAGCTTTCAGCTTGGGACGCTTATAAAAAAATGTTTCTAAGAACATCAGAGTACATGTCTTTTGTTGCCAGCACATACAGTTCCATTGGGTGTGAAATTAAATTTGTGGCTCCTATGGTATTTGTGTAGTTTTATTGTACTTAGTTATCTAAAGTGTTGACTTGAGTTCCCATCAATGCACAGAAGTTACACAGCTCCACATCTCTTATAATCTACTGACTCTAATGGCTATTTAACATATGTTTTAGAACAGAACATTACAGAAGTATACATCAAACAGAATACTACTATCATCAAAACAGGAAGTTTTCTCTAAAATTCCTGGGTCTGCTCAAAGTATTTTGCAAAGCAATACAATCTGAAATTGCAAATCTGATCTTCAAGTATATTCCTCTCGAATTAACTAGGATACTGAGCGGCTGCTCCAGCTGTACATGCCTGACACCACAAATCACTTGGGGTGCTTGCTGTAGACACACAACTAACTGAGTACACCTTCTCCTATGAGCCTGAGGGAGATCTTACCAGGCCTGGGAAACACTCTACACAGGAGTCTTTGGCATTAACATGTGTAAAAACCAAATCCAAGCAGGAAGTAACTATAATGAGGGACTCTTTGGTAAGTCCAAACCCTGGAACTTTCTTGATATTTTCTTGACAGGATCTTAGTGTCTGGTTAATCTGAGGCCCAAGTGCTTTGTTTTGGAATTCTCAACAACACTGCAACTATCACAGCAGGCCGTATCTGATACACAGTACTTACCCTCAAAGGAAACTATGTTTTTCTATTTACTGGGCTGCAGCAGTTTGAAAGGACAGTGCTACACAGAAGAGAATGAGAAGTGTCGTGCTTTGAACATGAAGTGTCCCCATAAGCCTATGGTCTGCTGTTCCACAGCTGGCAGGACCATTTTGGGAGGCTCTGGAGCCTTCAGGGGTGGGGCCTGACCAGGGGAAGTAGATTACTAGGGACAGGCCTTTGAAAGTATAGGCTGGCCACCAGTTCTGGCCTTGCTCTAATGCTTCCTGGTTCATAGTCTCAGCCACACATGACCATGGCTATGCCTTCCCCACCAGGATGAAATCAATTCCTTTGCTCTCTGAGGCTGGTACTATGTTCACACTGAACAAAAGTAACTAACTCGAGAAGTGATGTCATAAAACCTGACTCCAAGCATAAGTGAAGCATCCTTTCAGCCAAGTTCCTCCTCTGTGATCCATTCTACAATGCTGCATGGGGGTTATAGAAACCAGGACATATGAAGGGGATGACATAGAAGGAAAAGGGACAAATCTATTTTGAACCTTCTAGGTTTCTCCCACTACTATGCACCTGATAAGGTTAGCAATTGTTTGGTAAAATTTTCTAATTATCTGTACATTGGAATTCAACATCTGTAAGAGGAGGGAATTAAGAGGAAAGAAGAAACAACCGGCAGCATTCCACATGTTTACTTTCATCTTGGTTGTTGAAAACCAGAAGTCCCCTTACTTACAGCTAAAAGTGATTACAAACAGTAATTTGGAAAAATGTAGTAACAAGAAGTAACTGGAGGTAGCAGAACACTATAATTTAAAAATACAGTTGAACTCTTCCAAAACTAGAGAACATTGCTAAGGGCAATATACAAATGATTTTTTTTAAATGCAGCACTAAAACCACTTGAAAAAGCCAACATTTCAATTTGGCCTTTCAGGCAGCTTTCTAACATCAACATATTAAGTAGTCAAATGGCATTTATTCTGGAGATCAAAATGTTTCAAGTATCATATTTCATTTGTAAAAATGCATATGAAAACCATTTTTATAAAAATAGATCTAATTCTGTGTACCCAAAAGAAGCCTACCATGTTTGGTCTATTAAGCTATGGAAAGCCTATTTAAAATGCTACCTGCCAATTACTACATATAAAAAGTAATTAAGAAACATTGGTGCTATGAGAAGTCTCCCCTGGCTCTCTGTGGTTTGGTCTTTCTAATCATAAAAGTGGTGAAAAACTTTAGAAAACATTAGCACTTAGCTGGGGGAACAGAACAGTAAGACTTTTATTTAGAAGATAATTTGTAACTGTAGGTTGGTGTCATCTATGCATTAAAAGTCGCCATAAAAATCTCAAGTAGGTAAGCTGAAATAAAGAAATAACCCATCAGTAATCTGTGGAGTGTGGGGAAAATCCCGAGTCTCTGGTGCCCCTGTTCCTTCTGTATATGTGATGCTCACTGGCTCAGGGATGAGGGTGGTCTAGAGGAGAAATGTTGAGAACAGTAACCAGCACCACGCAAACTCCCTAAGCCATTCACAACCATTGCTAATGTCCCCCAGAGAACCAGTGTGCACTAGAGAACTCACGGGGCACTGTCACACCATAGTGCTGCGTGTCACTGATCAATAGCTTCCGCTTCAGCTCGTTCAGGCCGACCCCGACGGGACCTGAAAAAGATGGCAGAGAGACTGAGAACAGGGGTCTAATCCTTCATTCCAAGCAAGTGGTCTATTTCTAGCTAAGCTGTACATATTAAAAGAACTGGGTTTCTAGAGTTATATGCCTACCTTTTTTTCCTAGAAAACTTAAAACATACTCAAGAATACCTTAGATATTACCAAGTAATCCATATACAACAGCTTAAAATATATTCACCTACAAATCATACTGTACAGTCCTTGAGTGATCACTTTATTTTAAAGTATTTTTAGATTTCAATAAAAGAAAATCATTGGCCTTGACTTAATTTTGGATACAAATTCAATCATGCATTTTAAATGTGCAAACCATGTTCACACTGAGCTCTGTCATGACATCCTACCCTACAGAATTTCAGACAGTCCTAAGCATCTGAAAGCTGCCACAGGCCTTACACATTTAAATCAACCAAATGCACAGACAGAACGTATGATGAGCAAGGCAAATGGCATGTGCTGTGATCAAGAAAGATGGCAGATACACATCGCATTTAATGAAAATGACTAGTCCGTGAAGATATTGGAGCTAAATAAAAACCACCCAAAGGGTGGTTGTGAACACTAGCCTGAAATCAAAAGTCATAAAGGTATCAGCCTCAGGGTTGGCATTCCTTCCCCATCTTAAACCTCAGACAGCTTGTGGTTAGGTCTATGGATGAACTGTAGAGAGAAGTAGACAGAGCACCTACCTGAGGCCAGCCTGCCCAGAGCTAGGTCCCCACTTGCTCCTATCTAAACTTCTCCTCCTGTGATACTAGAGAAGGTGACCCTGTCCCAGTAAGGTCAAGTGCATCCTCAGTTTGAGTCACAAAGCGCCCTTTCTTGGGAGAAGGGTTGAGAACTCAGTACGGTACAGGAATATAGACTTTGCATTCCTTTATCTCCCCTTTCTCATCATCTGTGGGCCAGAAGGATCCCAGGGAAAGGATAGTGATAGACTTGCAGGCACACAGAGCTGAGGCTAGCCAAGCGGGCACTGTGAGTGAAGGGAGGCAAAGGGGCAGGACTGGAGACCATGCTTTCCTTCCCCAGTGGCACTTCTAGCCCCCACCCTGTCCCACTACTGCCTCCTATCTTTCCTACATGGCTGTCCGGAGCCTATTTCTCTGTCAATGCCCCTTTGTTCTCTAAGACTCCATGATATGCTCAAGTGGTGTTCACTGTTACTATAACTTACTAGGACATACAGTCCCCCTCTCCAAATTAATATGCTTCCCTAGCAATAGCATAACAAAGAAAAAAAAGGAATGTAATTTCTGACAATATAACTTGCATTTCAGTATATATGCACTTGGCATGGCCAGAAGAAAAACAGGCAACAAAGTCAGATGTCTGCACCCACTTAGGAGTTCAGACTTAAGGGCTCAAGAGCCATCGTGTACAAACAAGTACTGAAACAAGGCCCCTGGGTACAGACAGACACCAGAATTTGGGTAAAAACCATGACCAGGTTCCCTGGAACATGAAGTGCCATGGATCTGCTACTGAGATGTTCTCCCTAAAGTGATGTGAAAAGCTTGGATGGCAGCTGATGTGGCTGGATCATAAGGACTCCGCTTGATCAATGGCTGAATGGTGGAGGCAAGTGAGAAGGCATGCCTTGACCTTGGAGCCCTTCTCAGTTTCATTCTTCTTCTGGGTCACCACACTATGAGTAGCATCCTCCCCAGCACCCCCAATGCCCTTCTACTCTGGCACTTCCGCACTGCCAGGAACCCCAAAGCAATGGAGTCAGCTGACCACAGCTAGATCCTCTGAAACCATGAGCTCAGATCAACCTTTACTCCTTTTAAGCTGCCTGCTCAGGTGTTTTGCTGTAGTGACAAAGGTGACTGTCATAACGAGAAAGAGGGAGGCAACCTTCACTGACAGGAGGACAGTAGGTCAAGTGAATCAAAGTGAAATAGTACAGATGACCAGGCTTGATCTAAGGGCAGCATGAGAACATGAACCCGAGTGACGGAAGTGTATCCAAGACCACAGAAGGCTGGCTTCTAGCCCTCCCCTAACTTTGGGTTATGTACCAAGTTCATGGGTTTCCTATACTTTCCCACTTCAAAGGACCCACCCCACTAATTACACACGCTTGCTTACTTGCCTTGATCCTCTAACAGACTGTGAGGTCCGTGAATACAAAGACATCTCCTGCCTCACTCACCTACTATTTCCACAGCTGGCAAATTATAGGCACTTAGATGTCTGTTTCGTGTTACTGGAGCAAGAGCCCAGGGTCTCACTCACATGTGCCAGGCAGGTGTGCTCCCAGTGTGCCACATCCTCAGGGCCCAGATCATTTGTTTACATTTCACAAAATGTGTGCTATCATGGGGGTAAAACGGGAGTGAACTACAGGCATGGGAGTTGAGGTTAAAAGGCATTTGCACCTAGGTCACCTGGATGTGGTCATCACGTCATACATTCAAGGACACATTCTGAATGTGACTTTTAATCTTCAGCAAAAGCAGTGAGTTATGAAGTGAGTTTTCGGAAGGACCTCTAGTTCCCTGCATCCTGCCAAGGTTCACAATTCACTAAGGAGGAGAGAGCTGAGATTCCTGTGTGAATGTCCACAAGGCAAAACCTGACGAGGAAGACAGATCTCTATGGCGAGTGGCAAGCAGATAGGCACTTACTGACAGTGTGACTGAAACCACAGGGAGGCTATGCATTCTATAAGGCGCAAAATATAAAGAATATAATCTTGAAAAAAAAAAGGAAATGAGTGTTTCAATGGAATACCATTGTGTGTATCTTCCGTGTACAGATGAAGTGAACCCAGTTACTTATGCCCCCAAAGGACGCCAAATACTAGAACATAGAGGGCCCTGCTCCAGGAAAGAAGACGGTGGGAAATCCGTGTTTTTTCATAGGTCTCAGTCCTGAAGCTCTTCCTAGAATGAGAGACTCTTTGAGGAGAAACAGAACTCCCTTTATTTCATGCACTACCCAAATCACAAGCAAACAAACTCAGAACAAACACACACCCCTCAGCCCCCAAAACCAATGATTTATTGTAGCTCAAGAGAAAAAACTAGCTGTCTGACTTAGTAGGGAATGCTATGCCAAGCCCAGATGTCACTCTTCAATTCTGGTCACACTCACTTTCAGTCCCATATGACAACTATGGACCTCACCCTCACAAACCAATTCTAGCCACCCAGTCATGAAGTCACACTCACTCACACCAGAAATGACCTGAGGAAAGGATTTTGTCTGAATTTCCTGAGATTTAGATTATTCTAGATCATAATCTTCAAAGGTAGACATAGTCTCATAAAAAGCCCAAAGGATAGAATTTCAAATCACTTATAAAACTGCTCATCGGACACACACAAGGCAGCTTCCTTGTGGGGTTCCTGCTCATTTTGCACCCGTGTGGGGAAGAATGCCAGCCTCTTATTGACTCCAAAAAACAAAAACAGAAACAGAAACTCACATTCACACCTGTGCCATATAACCCCCTTTCATGAGGGGGGTGAAATCACATCACTTTTAGTTAGCTTCTTTATATTTAGAACATGTGATCTATGTGCAGACAATGTAGTGATAAGAACAGACTAACCCATACATGTGCCTCTGCTAAGAAGATTCACTCTGCCCTTCAGTACATGAACCTTTACCACACAGTAAAGTGCAGTCATAAGACATTATAGTTTGTTTCCAGTGGTTCTGGTTAATGATAAAGTGGATCAAGGTCTATGCTGAAAATCTTCAGTTCACAGGGCTGGTTTGATGGGAACTCTAATAGGAAAGGCCTTCATGTGGCAGGCATCTGTTACACAGGCCATTAGGAACCTTCAACACATCTCTCAAAGTGTCATTATCCTCATTTTACAGAGAACGCTAAGACAATGAGAGGCCAGGTCTTTTCCTAAAGGGTGCACTTGAATGTGGCTCCCAGGTTATTCCAAAGCTCTGGTGACTGACAAGTCTACATTTCTCCACACTGCCTACACTCTTACAAAACAATGTAGATGAAACACGAAGTCAGGCTCTGCGCTGCCTATGGCGAAGGCTTCCAATGTCCTGGGCTTGTTGACTCCTTCCTAGTGTCCATACTTTCAATGGTGATTGTCTATCCTTGTGGCTAAGAAAACTGGTATCAATAAAATCTGCTGATCTCTCAACACACATTCTGAATATACTCTAAGACACTCTAGGAAGGCTAAAATAACCCTATGTGTATACCAAACCTGAGCAACTTGGATGCATCTATTACAATACTTTTCATTTACAATTACAGAAAATCAAACACAATGATATGCATAAGGAAAAGCCCCCAAGCTCACTGAATTAACTTTAGCTTATTAATTTGGAATTGAAATGGTAAACTAAGGTTGATGCTCTTTCTCATTTAAAAAGAAAAAGTGCTCATGGTCAAGCCAGGAATGCCATTCTGCAGCTGATTCTTAATAGAAACAGTCTGTTGTATGGGAAGGAGGGGTGTTCACAAGACTTGGGTTTGTCATGAAACTGAGAAGCCCCAGGAAGCCAAGAAAGTTGTGCAATTCACAGGCCCCTCCTCAGGGTCACATAATTCCACAGAGAGAAGAACCTTGTGTGGCACTGCCTGAGTTGTGCAGGGAGCTCCAGGGGATGCAGCTCTTGTAAGTCACTGTCCATGCTGTCACATGGGCCTGCCAGTGATGCAGCTGACCCGGAGTCACCCATTCCCTTGTAAGTAACCCCAACAAGTCCGCTGGTTTGCTGTGCTAGACTTGTATGGAGTTGTTTCTTTGGTGTGTTGTCAATGTCCTACTTGGGGTGAATAGATGTTCATGTCACCCCAGGAAAGCTTACAGAACAAATGTAAATTAATTATAAGCTTTGTTTTAAAAACATTCCATAGGTCTTAGGATAGAACTCAGTGGTGGAGCACTAGCCTAGTATGCTTAATGCTACAAATATAATCCCCATATAATGATCAAACAAACGGGCTGGAGAGACTGCTCAGCAGTTAAGAGCACTGG